TCTTTTTGTGATTAGAGTCTAATTTACATCATCCCGATTAACTATCTGGTCGGCGCTTACCTGATGTGGGCCATCAAGGATGGGGTGTCATGCATTTTTTTTCCTTGAGCTTTAATTTTCTTCTCACAAAGATCATAAAATCATTATTGGTAGAAAAAAACAGTAATCTTTGAATGGTCCTTGATAATTTATTTTGTTATTTATATTGTTATTTCAAAAGTTTCTATATTCAGCTTTCTTGTTCAAGCTTTATTACCCCTCTGGTCAAATAAGAGTATCACACAACAAAAAATATATGGAATAGTTAATATTCTCGACTTTTTAAAAAGATGATGATAAACCAGTTGTTATACCGTGGGAGCAGCCCACGGTGAACATACTGCTCCCACAAGAAAAAAGGCGTGTTATTGTTCACGCGTGAACCACAACTTCTCTTTTGTTTTTTTCAATGTCCCAAAAGCAAAATGATGTAACTCGCATGTAAAGAAATGTAACTCACGCGCTGATAAGAAATGTGGCTGCAGGCAAGTCGAAATGTAATTTGTCTAATACGAATTATAAGAAATAAACCATTGATTTTAATGAAAACAAGGAGTGTAATTGCTCAATTACTTTACGTAAATAGTGAATATGTTTTTTTTTTAATATTAAGGCAAAAAAAATGTTATTTTTTGCCAAAAACTCATTTTTCGCCAAAAAAATCATTTTGTTTTTGCAAACAAGTATTTTTTTTTGTTTCAATAGCAGGGGTTTACTTAAATAGTGAATATTTTTTTTTTTAATATTAAGGCCCTAAAACTAGTAAATGTGTTTTTTACCTCAACTCGCACAAAAAAATTCCTAGTTTGCGCGAGTTGGATGTATTCTTGTTTTTGTGCATATTTTGGAGAGATATTTTGGATAGGTGACTAATTGGTACTGTGTGTAACATAATCATACCAGAACCCACATGTGTGTCACATGTTTGAAACCTGAAATATTCCTTGTGGTAACCACTAGGGTGACGTGGCCTTTTGTGGTGACGTGGTTGTAGCTTCGCGTGGTACTTGATTGCTGAAATGTCTAAGTCCACAATTGGTAAGCGAGGCCCCGAGCTTCATAAGCAAGGCCAGAGCTCGGGTATGGTAAGCTAGCTTATTCTGGAGGGTTTGACCTTAGGCTTTAGTTTGTCCGGTAGCTGTTATTCCTTCGCCCCATTGACTTTGGTTGACTTCGCGTCCGTGTCTGAGGTGGGATCCGGTACCGACCTCGGCGTAGTCGATCTCGGCCTCAGATTCAGCCTTATCTTGGTGATCTGGGAGTCGAATGTTCGCGCTGACCTCGGGTGGGTCGAGATTGGCCTCGGCGAGATGTTTGCCTTAGTGTTCTGGAGGCTTTCTTTGTTCGTGAACGTTAACACCCCTGAGGTATATGGGAATATACTCCATCAGTAATAGTTGAATGTGAGTGTGTGTTCCTCCTATTGTAATTTTATTCTTGGTATTGAATAGAAAAATTTCCAATCCCAACATCATCGTCTTCCAAATAATCACATTACTCATTTGGACGAGAAGCACAATCATCATGGTCTTATTTTCAGCTTTGGTTGACTTGTGGTTGTTGCGATTAGAAAAACTCGTTACAAATACAAACAGAAAACAAATACCTACAAGTATTAAAACTTTATAACTACAAAGGTTTGGCTTGTTCTCCATATCTCTATTATCCATTTCCTTGAGAACACACACCTTGATATTTTTTTTAGTTCGAGGAAACTTCGTATGTAAAATGAGCATAACATCAGTACCAATTTGAGATTCCTCTGTTCTTCAAATTAATGCAGTAAGTTTTACCAATATGTAATTTCTTCAACCGTTTTGAAGAACAAAGGAATGTCAATATCGTTTTTCGTGAAATCTTAATTAAATTCTTGATTGATTCTTCACACCTCCTCAAAATTCTTCTTTAAAAATCCTATGTTTTTTGGATTTTTTTGACCAAAAACTTGCTACCTTTAATAGGTATAGGGGATATCCATTTATCACATACATCATTATTGGCCTACTTAAAAAATCAAATCATAATTAAACTAATTAGATAGCTTCAATAATCTAGTAATTACCCCAAATAAGAGTAAAAGTAGGGTAAAATGCTAAAATAGGATTTCATATGATTTATCCCAAACATGGTCAATTTATTCCTATTAAGAAACATAAGGAAATCAACATCCCATTTTTGCCCCTATACCTATTTACCCTTCTCTCTCCCTTCTCCCTGCCTCATATCCATCGATGTCTAACCCCTGACTCACATATGTCGATGCCTTCACCGCAGCTTCTTCATAGTAGATCTGTGACTTCGCCGCCTCCACCGCACGCTGCCTCCGCCTTCATCGCCTCGTCCTTTATCTCCTTTGCCGCCTCCGCCCTCCACTGTCAAAGTTCCCTTCGCATTTCAGGATTCTCTCTTCCTCCTCCTCCTCATTGTAATACTTGAGATTAATTTAAGGGATTAATAGTACTACTCTTATCAACAACGTGCATCTCCTTTTAAAGGAGCTCATCAGCTAAGAATTTCATGTTAATTATGCTTGCACGAGAGTAGTTTTGGGATGGGGGGCACCCTAGGAATATTGGTTTGTGAGGATAATATTAGAGGTAAGGAGTATCTACCTCAGGCCATGCGGGGCCGGGTGTTGCTAGTCGTATGAGAGCAACCCTATGACATTATGTTGATCCGCTGGATATTGAGCGGGCACTTAGCATTGGAGGACTCTGGGGATTGATTGAGAATGATTTATAGGCGCAACGAGGACATTACGTTCTTAAATGGGAGTGATTGTAATACTTGAGATCAATTTAAAAGGGATAAAAGTACTATTCATATCAATAACATGCATATCATTTTAAGGGACTTCAGCGTCTAAGAATTCCAAGTTAAACTTGCTTGTAAGGGGGTATTTTCTTGGGATAGGTGCCCCCCAGGTCGTTTCTTAGGGCATGCACAAGTGAGGACAAAATGCACGTCTAAGTCTTGTGCTGGTTTGTGAGATGTGCACCAGAACAAAAGGCCTATGTATCGTGCGCACGAATCGGGGGCGGAGCCAGGACACTGGGCCGGACTGGGCCGGTACAAAGAATATTTTTGAATAAAAATTTACACGGAATTTTTTACACTAAAAATATAGAGATTTTTAAAATTTGGGCTGGGCCAGGGCCAGGGGTGGCCACCCCCTAGCTCCGCCCCTGCGCACGATACATGTGGGTGTACCATATAGTTTGGGAGATCTTAGGAGGAGGATGAGGAGGATGAGGGGGTGGGGGAGGAAGAGGAGCCTACTATATCTAGATGCTCTATAGAAGTTGAGTATAGAGCTATTGCTTACACAATTCAAGACACATTCCATATTCATTCTGTTCTGCTCGAACTGGGCATAGCTATTCAATCGTCGGTTCAACTTCTCTGTGATAATGTGTCTGCCTCATATTTATATGCTAATCCTATTCATCATGCTCACAGCAAACACTTTAATATTGATTATCACTTTGTTCGTGAGGGAGTTTTACATGGAGATTTGATTGTTAAATATGTTCCCATTCATCTTTAGTTTGCGGATATTTTCACCAAGAGTCTTTCTCTGCAGCAATTTCTTTTTCTTCATGAGAATCTATATGTAGTTCCTTCTGCACGGATCGAGGGGGTGTAGTAGTCTAGTGTATTATGTTTTGATACTCCGTATTTATTATGTTTTATATTGTAATTGGAACTCCTTATTCTCTATATATGTAAGATATTCAGGCCAGACTTGTAAGCCTCATTACTATTCTCTCAACTTCAGTGTTGTTTGGTATTTGAGATGTCAATTGTCGGGTGGATTTCCACAGGATTTTGGCTTCTGGTTCACAATATTTCATATGGAGTGGAAATTGCTCTCCCTTTGATATAAGCTTGAATTATAATTAATTTCAATACTAATTATACTCTAGTATTAAATTTCTATATTAACGTATTTTTGATTGGAATGGATTACTTTCGCAAGTTATATCCTACATCTGGGTGTAGCTGCACACCCGGTATTTTGTAATATGTAACAATTTTAAGTCCTTTAAATTAATGAATTTCTCATCCCTAACCTCTGAATCGTGCGCATGTAGGGGGAGAAGGCGAACTGGTAGAGCCGGACTCTGCAGCTGCTCCGAGCACGGAGAGAGGGGGAGGATCTTGGTGGTGAGGCGAAAATGGCTGCCGTCTCTGGATAACTCGATTTCCTCTGCTACACCACACATCGGAGCTCAAAAAATGCCTCTTCTTCTGTTGCTAAAAAATATCATCCGCAATTGTTGCATTTTTCAGAGACTGCAACTTTCTCATTTTTCTCTTATACTCATTTTGTAAGTTATGTATGTTCATTTGGTACCACTATTATGCTCATTTTAAAATGTTATATCAATGCATGTTTCAAAAGTATCATAATACATTAGCTTCATATAGGAGTTGATTATAGATATGAGAGCACAAATCAGGATACTCAATCACACGATTCTAATACTCAATAGAGGAGGTTCGATGCTTACTGAATATGTCTTAATGCTCAATTAACAAAAGTTACGATTTTCATATCAATGTTCATTTTGTAATTTTGCATGCTCATTTGATACTGATGTTATGCTCATTTTAAATTGTCATACAATGCATATTTCAAAAGTAACATACCATATTAGATTCACATATAGAAATTCATAAGAGTTGATTATAGATATAATTTAATAAGTTGTTATAAAAGAAAAAATAAGAAAAAGAAATTGAATTAGACAATAAGAATCAAAGATGTTGCTAATTGTTAGGCTTCTAATACTTAATAGAATATGTCTTATATTCATTAGAATTACATTAATGTTCATTTAGAGGAAGCCGCGATTTTCACTTTAATTACAAAAAGTGATATATTGTTAGGCTTCCCATTACTTCCGGCAAAATTGCACTGCAAAAGTTGGTGCTGATATGTGATTTTCCATCACAAAGCTCATTAAAGTACACAAAAGTATCAGTAAATGCACACTTTTCTAGCTCATTAGTTAATAACAACTCAATTTCAATTTTGAACTTCTATTTTATACATCGAAAGGGAAATCTATTTCCTATGTGCATGAAAAAAATACTCCGTACTAAATTAATTTCATACGATCGACTCCAGGCATCTTAATTCTGGATTCCGACGAACTCAAGCCTTAGCTCGGTTAGCTCCATCGCCTAGAATGCATGCTTTTCCAAAAGTCAATGCCATATGTCCCTTAAGATAAGATTGTCACAAATCCACATTAGTTAGAAGGCTTATTACAAAATAGATATAAAACTAATGTCACACAATACCATTTTTAGTTTTAAGCTCCTGCACGAGATTAATTAATATGGATATAAGCACAACTCCATCCATAAATTGTGTTTATTTTGTGTGTATTTAACTATATATATGATTCATTTTTCAAAAGATGAGTCACTAGTTTTCATTCAATTTTTCATCCAAACTTAAAAGTATTCTCTTTATTTATTTATTCTTAAAAGTTTATGGTAATTGTAGCTTGAACTCCGCAATTTTCGATTTATATGTATGCGGGTCATCCGTTTTCCTTTATCAGGTTGACCCACTTTCCAATCCCATGAAAATCTTGAATGGGCTACTTTTGAATTGTAATTTGCGGATTTTGAAATTGATTGATTGGAAATAAAGTTAGATTATTCATTGGTTAAATCAGTTTTAGTAATTAAAATTTAGATACTCCTCCGTCCCATAAAACTTGGCCAAATTTCTAATTTTGATCATATCGTCCCAAAAAACTTTATCATTTCCATTTAAATTAAAGAATGTTGGCTAATTAAAGTTATTCTCTCTCATCTACACAAATTTATTTGAACCACACAGTTTTTAATTTATTAATCTACATGAAAGTTAACTTTGATCAAGTTTCGTGGGACGAAGGGAGTATTAGTTAAAAGATTAACAACTACTGCCAGCTGGTCACTAAAGGAACCGGCTGTAGGAGTAAGAGAAGCGGTGAGATGGGCAGCAGAACTAGATTGGCCAAGGGTAGTTGTGGAAGCGGCTTCCGTAATAGAGAGTTTAAATGATTGATCGGGATTGTTTGAGATAATATTAGACAATTGATGAATTCTATCTAGATTAAATTACAGAGTAACACATTATATTGTAAACGATTTGCGAATCGTGTAGCTCATGTGCTTGTTAGGGCGATAATATTATGCCGCATTGTGGTGAGTGTTTTGTTCATCTGCCAAGTTGTATTCTTAGCACCTTGCCTAATGATGCCTTGAATTAATATAAGTTGAATATTTACCACAAAAAAAATTACATATTCTCAAACTGTATTAAAAGTTTTACATAGTAGTAAAATTCAAATTTAAATATAATAAAATTAAGTAAATACGAGTAGATATGTTGACTAAAAAGATTGATATTAAAAATGAAGACTGAGGAAAGAGATCTTGCTAGAAAGTGACTGATTGGGCTAGGTGTTTGTTGACCTAAATAAGGTGTTTAGCAAAATTTTGGTAGGGCGCGTTTTTCTTTAATTTTCATTTGGATAGGGTCAAGAATATGAGTCCCATTTTGTTCACTCCAATCCTCCATCCTTGACATTTGACATCACAATTCTTTTTTCTAAAATTATAAATCCTTGACATTTGACATCACAATTCCTTTTTCTAAAATTATTATAATTTTTTATTTATAATTTAATTTTCACAAAAAATATACTCCATTCGTTCCGAAATTAAATTCCTAACTTGACTTCATGTGTTTTTAGGTAGAATAGGAAATAAAGTTGATTTCTCAAAAATGCCCTTCGGATATTAAAAGGTATAGTACCCAAATGAGTATAATAAATTGGGTAGTGAATAGTGAAATGAAGTGATGTGAGGGTAAAAAGGTAAATGAATAATAAAAGCTTACCAAATATAGAAAGAAGTTGAGGAAGTAACTTAATTTTAGGACATTCCAAAAAGGAAAGTGAGAACTTAATTTCAGGACAGAGGGAGTATGAGATTTAATAATTTTTAATGATCTTTTCAATGATATTCATATTGCTCATAAAAAATAGGGGAAACAATTTTTTTTTTAAAATCTTGTTTAGCTGAATTTTTCCTAAAGTTTTGCATATGCAATATTAGTACCAAATGAAGGATCATAAAAAATTAAAAATATTGATATATATTTTTAAAAAATTGAACAAAAAATGAAAAAAGTTATAACAATTGCAAAATTAAAATGAATTGCTATGCCATGCGGCAACATTGGCCAGGAGGGTTGGGGGTGATGTTCATCCTCTTTTGAGGGGCGAGTTATGCGTCCCAAAAAATTGCCACATTTTTAGTAATTCTGATTTAATGTACAAACAATGAACTGTTTATAATGACTAAAATTGGAACTTAGTCATACTAATTTATGTTCAATTTTTACGCTTAAATGACTATAATATTATTATAGTATACATAGTAGTAATTATTAGTCACATTTTTGTAAATACTACCTCCGTCCCATAAAATTCTTCTCACTTTCCTTTTTGGGTCATCCCAAAAAATTCTTCCCACTTTCCTTTTTTTGACAATTTGTGTGGTTCACATTCATTTCACCTTTTTCTTACACAATCACAACCACACATTTCCACTTTATTCCACTTTCTTAATCTCCGTGCCAAGTCAAAGTGGGAAGAATTTTATGGGACGGAGGGAGTAAGTTTTAATTTAATACTACTTACTCCCTACGTCCCTTAAAATTTTGCCAACTTTCTTTTTAGATGTCTCATTAACTTTGCCACTTTCCTTTTTAAGTAAAGAATTTGTGGTTCCACTTAATTCTCTCTCCTCTGCACAAACCTCTACTACACAGTTTTTACTTTATTAATTCTCGTGCCGGTCAAACTTGACAATGTTTTAAGGGATGTGAGGAGTATTTTTTTTTAAACCTTCTCTTTATATTAATAATCACTCATGTCAGTACTACAAGTATTATTAAAAACTCTATCTTAACCAATAAATCATAACCACACCTTATTATGTATGTACAACAAGGTTAGTAGACATAAATCTCTTACATTTTATAAAATGAATTTGGGCGTTCTCCTTCTAGCCAAATCCTTAATTTCTAATAATGGTCTGGGACGCCTTCCGAGTTCAAAACCCTTGCCTTTTTCAAATGGAGTAGTTCAATCCTAGTGGTTTCATATTCCAAATATCTCTTTTTTCTCTATAATGATTTAAAAAAATGAATTCTGCTTCTTTAACATTGCAATGTTAATTGAAACTTTCCAGCGGATTTCGACGTTCAAGTGATCTGGTCTACCCAGATTTAAGCCAAAAAATAATTGCACATATTCATATAAAAGTATAATAAGAATACCTGTTATGATAGGGATCAGGTCCACCAGGTATTCGTCTTTTACTCACGTACTTGATAGAGTTAAAAGAGTGCTGATGATAAAAAGAACAACAACTTCTCATCCTTTTCAAAACCATTACATTATTCGAAGGGAATAAAAGATGCCCAATAATGGTTGTGATCCCAATGTCATCTTTGGCTGACTTATGGCCGTTGTGAATAAGCAAAATCCCTACAATTACAAAAAAGATGAAACAAACAGCCACTAGTATCAAAACCTTGTTATTGTGAACGCTTGATTTGCTTTCCATCCCTCTCTATGTCCTTTCCTTTGACGACACTTTGAGTTTTATGGTTGGGAGGGAAAATGAGATGAGAGATATAAGAGGGAGAAGATAATGAGGGAGAAATAAAATTTTGTGAAATAAAGTGCGCTATAAAATGATTTTGTAGGAGAAGAGCATTAAAGAAAGAAAAATTGTCGAAAGTAGGGTTTTAAATGTGTACGTCGGGTTGGAATTATCATTACTTGTCATATACGAAAATTATTATGTGATTGATGTAAATGATCATCTCTAAACAAGTATCAAATGTACCTTATTCAAAATTTCAAAAGCTATGTTAAATCAAAAGACAAGTTTATCGGGAACACTACAAAAAAACACGCCTTTAGTCACGGACGTTAGTCACGGATTTCGTCCGTGACTAGCCTAGTCACGGGCTAGTCACGGGCTAGTCACGGATTTTTGAAAAAAAAATTAGTCACGGATTTGGCCGTGACTAAGTCCGTGACTACATAAATCCGTGACTACGAACCGTGACTAAAGTCCTCCGGTTGCCCCAACTCCGTCGCCGGTAAGCCCGTTTTTATTCCGGCGACTTAGTCACGGATTTATCCGTGACTACGTCCGTGACTAAAAAAAATTAAATTTCCAGCGCTCAAAATTAATTTCTCAAAATTTAGTCACGGAAAATTCCGTGACTAGGTCCGTGACTAGGTTTTTTATATAACTGAACCACACCAATTCATTCCATGTATATATAATACAGTTCACACCAATTCATTCCATGTATATATAATACAGTATCTGTTTGAAAGATCAAAGGATGTAGTCCATCTTATGTCATTTTCCCTGTTTATGCAGATAATAAGGTATGTTATTTGAATTCTTTTTACTTAGAATTAGTTGATTCAATTTAAAATTGGTTAGCTAAGCGTAGTTTTAAACGTAGTGATGCATTAAGTTAAATTAAGTAAAATTAGTTAGCTAAACGTAGGTTTTAAATAATTAAGTTAAATTAATTAGTTAAGTTAGTGTAGCTTTTGATAATATTAGTTAAATTTAAATATACTAGTTAATTGTAATGTGCAGAAAAAAGGTTGGCAATTAATTAACGAATTGAATTAGTTAAAATTAGTTAAACGTAGGATTAATTTAAATGTAGTATTAAATTACTTAATTTTTTAATAATATTAGTTAAATTTAAGTATTAGTTAATTCAAATGGGTGTGTGTGTGTGTGTGTGTATAGGGGAAAGATCAAGTACAAAGTGTGCTTATTGTGCAAATATTTGTACGATGCACCTTGACGTTATTTGCATTGCATATTGAGGTTCAAAGTATTGCACATTATAAAGTCATAAAAATAGCAGATGCACATTAAGGTGCAACGAGTTGCACCCTAAAAAGTTGAGTTTTATTACAAAAATGCCACATTGCCTTTATGTCCTTTGGATCAACTCATCGGACGGTCAAGATGAGTTTGTACTTTGTAAATTAAGAAGGCTTTGTATTTGATCTCTATTCTATATATATATATATGTTTTGGTTCAAATAAGAACATGATCTTATGAGAGAAATGAGAACGAATCTGAACCGTTAGATTTGCTTCAAGTGAAATTCAATGTGCATTAGATGAAAATAATTTGTGCATTAGGTGAAATTGAAATGTGCATCACAAAGGGTACGATAGAGTGACATTATGTGCAGTTGAATTATGCATTACGTGAAATTGAAATGTGCACTAGGTGAAGCTGAAATGTGCAGAATAAAAAGTACGAATTCTGCTTATTGTGCAAATGTTTGTACGATGCACCTTGACGTTATTTGCATTGCATATTAAGGTTCAAAGTGTTGCATATTATATAGTCATAAAATAGCAATTGCACATTAACGTTCAACGAGTTGCACCCTAGAAAAGTTAGGTTGTATTACAAAAATGCCAATATTTGTAATAAGCATCCTAACCCATCATCTCATTAAATGAATGACCATTAATCAATTGACTCACAATATAAAGATGCACTTCGATCATCACATGCAATCTTTCTCCTATAAATGAAAATAGTAACGTGCAACTAATAAAGGGTATTAGAGTAATCCTGTAAAATCCATTTATTGTTGCAACCGTTGTAGGCTTTCACTTTCCAAAAAAGTAGGTAAAGATAAAATCTTAAATCAAATATAATATTTTTAGTTTAAAAGTGATTTAACTTTTTAAATTATAATCCAACTTTATCAAAAATTATATCAATTTAAATAACTTTTTTTATCTTTCAAATGACATCAATATTGTATGAATAATTTGTTTTAAAAAAAATAAGTAATATATGTATATAATAAACCACAACAAGCATCTTCAACTATCACACACACAAGAATATGTATCTCATGCACAACAACCAGTATCTAATGCACACGAAAATGAGTATCTCACAAATGGTTTGTATATAAAGCACAAGAGCAAGTATCTCGATCACAAAAATAGTATCTAATGCACAACAATTAAGAACTAATATCGATCGAACACATAAAGATTTCATATAATTTAAACAATTAAGAACAATTGATGAAAACATTACTTAGTTTTTGTGAATTGTTATTGTGAATTATTTGAAGTTCATTAAGTGAAATTTAATAAATAAATGTTCGTAAACATATCAAATTATTAGAAGATATAGTTATTTAATAATATTAATTGAACGTTATGTAATTGTAGTGCATTCAACTTTAGTAAAATTGAATATATTAATGCTCCTACATATGAATTAGTGAAAATATTTAACATAACAAATTGTTGATAATGTTTATGATTTAAAGTTTTTAACCAATATATTTTTTATTCTTATAATATTCAGGCATAATGTATAAGCAAAATAGAAGTTGGATGTATGATAAAAATGCGGTATTGTACGGAATGCAATCAAATTTCCTCGAGGGATGTGGGGAGTTTATTAAATTTGCACTTGAACACCCGGATTATATGAGTGGTGACAAAATCAGATGTCCATGTTCAAAGTGTAGAAATCTCAAATTTAAAGACCCAGAAGATGTTGGGTGGGATTTGTACGCGGAAGGTTTCGTTTCCAATTATTATAATTGGACTTGTCATGGCGAACCTTTGGATCCAGGGGCGGAGCTAGGGGGTGCCCAGGCTAGGCCCTGGTCCACCCCAAAATTTTTTTTTATCATCAAAGTGCATAATATTATCAAATCAACATATCGTTAGCCAGTTGGCTATGAATACACTCAGGAACTACATCATAATAAAAACACTGATCTGGTGAATTAACATGAGCCCGAGATAGAACATGAGCAACATGATTCGCAGATCTTCTAGAGAAAGAGATTTCAAAATCTCTTTTTAACTTAAGCAAAGAACCAATATCATCAATAATCAAAGATAGATAAGAACTTCCCCGGTCATTCTGCAACGCGTGGACCACTGTCTGCGCATCTGTTTCAAATGAGGTGGGACCAAATAATGGTATATGATGCATACTGTGGTAAAAGGTCAGAGACGACAGTTTTTAATAGTGGCCAATGTTTTTACCATGGCTGTTGTGGCGACGCACGTAAAACTGACGTAAAACTGTCGTAAATGTTCCTCCTTATGTTTTTACGATGTTTGACCGACGATAAAGCAAACGGATCCCTGTCCGCACTCAAATTATTTTTAGAAAAAAAAATTACATATTCTGAAACGTTATTAAACCCGCTACAAAACCAATTCAAACTAACTCAAGTTTTGATGTATAAAGTAAGAGATTAAGTGTGATTTGTGTTGACCAAGTGAATAGTAAATATATCTTATAAAATGGGACAGAGGTGAATTGTTGTAGACATTTTTTTTAAATTGTAGTGATTAAAATACTTATAACATTGATTAAAATAGTATGTAGTGACTGATGGAATAATAGTTGTGATGCCTATTATATTAGGCGACGATCATTTGGGATAAAAAATTAATGAGTGGAGTCCATGTCCATGTGAAATTAAAATTAATGCTGCATAAGTACTACGTATTTTATAATAATAGAAGTTTCCAACTGGTATGAAATACTTTTTTACTGTGAAATGTAGCTTGATTTTACCTTACAGATTTGAAAGGTTTCTTCAACAAGAAATCTCCACGTTCTCATCTTTTTATTTTGAGCGTGAAGTCATCACTAGAAGAAAGAGACCTGCCCGGAACGATGACATTGGCGAGGATTTATACGAAAATGTAGTTTCCATTTTCAATTACCCAGGTAGAGTTAAAGGAGCTGCGACACACCGAAATCTTACCGTTTTACTAGAATTACTGTTTGAATTCATGCCAGAAACGCACCTTCCGAACCTAACACCTCCATCTGAGCACGAAATTGTTCAAATGCATGATGAACAACGATCTGCTCAATATCAGGAAGAAGGAGAATGGATAGACGGTTCTGATACAGAAGAAGACGTTGTATATGTAGAAAATAACGATTCTGACAGCGAGTAATTGTGTTGTTGTAATTTCAATTTTTTTGACTCCAAATATTTGTGCTCTTTTCTTCATCATTACTACGTATATTACTCCAACAATATTTGATTTTTTTTCTTCATCATTATTATTTGTGAAATAAAAATTACTCCATATTAATTCAACAACAACAAGTTTTTTATATCCATATTATAAATTCAAAATATACTTTTAATAATTCAAAGTTAGAAATTCAAAATTAAAATTTCCATAATTCAAAATTTAAAATTACTCCATATTATATCCATAAAAAAATTCGAAAAAAAAAATTGACCGGGTTAGTCACGGATAAATCTGTGACTAAATCCGTGACTAAATTCAAATTTTGAATTTAGTCACGGCAGTAGTCACGGATAAATCCGTGACTAACCCGGTCAATGGCGGCCCTGACACCGCGTGGCTGGATTCGGGGATTACGAAGGGTTTAGTCACGGAAATATCCGTGACTAAATCCGTGACTAATCCCTTATATAAAATAAACCCTTGGCGAATTTCTCATTCCAAACACTCTCCCAACCCTAAAACTCTCCCTCTATCTCTACTTCTTCTCTCTGTCCGGCGAACCCTTTGACCTCC